TTGAAAGATTTGGTTCAAGATCGATGTTTTCCTTGGATTATAAAGAAACGTCTTATCGCGTCTACAAAGATAAAAGATCGTACAGGGAGGCACAGGGTGACACAGCTTTCATCATCTCTTGAACTACGGCCTGTCTTAACCTTTACATCTATCCATGTCACAAACCCCCTTCCTACTTTTTTCTACAGTCTCTGCCCACCCCATTCTCTACATGTGTCACAACCTGTCACTCACCTATTTCTACATGAGTCACAACCTGTCACTCCCCCCCCCCCCCCTTTCTACTTTCTACATGAGTCACAACCTGTCACTCCCCCCCCCCCCCCCCTTTCTACTTTCTACATTTGTCACAACCTGTCACTCCCCCTATTTCTAAATGTGTCACAACCTGTCACTCCCCCTATTTCTACATGTGTCACAACCTGTCACTCCCCCTATTTCTACATGTGTCACAACCTGTCACTCCCCCTATTTCTAAATGTGTCACAACCTGTCACTCCCCCTATTTCTACATGTGTCACAACCTGTCACTCCCCCTATTTCTACATGTGTCACAACCTGTCACCCCCCCCCCCCTTTCTAAATGTGTCACAACCTGTAACTCCCCCTATTTCTAAATGTGTCACAACCTGTCACTCCCCCTATTTCTACATGAGTCACAACCTGTCTACTCCCCCCCCCCTTTCTACTTTCTACATTTGTCACAACCTGTCACTCCCCCCCTATTTCTACATGTGTCACAACCTGTCACTCCCCCTATTTCTACATGTGTCACAATATGTCACTCCCCCTATTTCTACGTGTGTCACAACCTGTCACTCCTCCTATTTCTACCTGTGTCACAACCTGTCACTCCCCCTATTTCTACATGTGTCAACAACCTGTCACTCCCTCTATTTCTACATGTGTCACAATATTGTCACTCCCCTATTTCTACGTGTGTCAACAACCTGTCACTCCCTCTATTTCTAAATGTGTCACAACCTGTCACTCCCCCTATTTCTACATGTGTCACAACCTGTCACTCCCCCTCCCTTTCTTCTTGTGTCACAACGAGTCACTCCCCCTCCTATTTCTACCCTGTCCCAAACCTCACCCCCCCCCCCCCCCCCGCATCTCAGGTAAAAGCGAAACCAACTTTATAACTTCCTCCCCCAGCACCCGACGACATATTTTTTCTTGTATTGTTTATTGATCTAACCAGATCGAAGTTTAAATACGCACTTATCGTACGGGCTGAGGTAAGCACCAGATAACACAACCACACGCACACCGACTTTCTCTTTGTTTACATTGTGATCACGTTCATGTTGTGATCACGTGACCCGTCCTTCAGGGGACGGGAGCAAGGTTGCGTTGACCTGGAATGTGGTATCGCATGTGATGGCGCCTGTCTGATGTAAAAACGGTCAGTAGCGTGTAAAATAAAAACAAAAACATAAAACAACAAACAATAAAAAATAATTTACCGGACGGTTACACAACATGGGATTTAGATAGACAGTGTGATTGGCTTCCCTATTACATTAGGTTGTCTATCCTGTTTTGCTGGTCGCTTGATTGTCTCCCCCCTTACATGGGTCCTTTGATTGTCTCTCATATAACATTGTCCGTTTGATTGTCTCACCTTGTTACTTTGACATTTTAAATCTCTTCCTTATTACATTAACCCTTTGATTGTCTCCCATATAACATAGTACGTTTGATTGTCTCACCTTGTTACTTTGACATTTTAAATCTCTTCCTTATTACATTAACCCTTTGATTGTCTCACCTTGTTACTTTGACATTTTAAATCTCTTCCTTATTACATTAACCCTTTGATTGTCTCACCTTGTTACTTTGATATTTTAAATCTCTTCCTTACTACATTAACCCTTTGATTGTCTCACCTTGTTACTTTGACATTTTAAATCTCTTCCTTATTACATTAACCCTTTGATTGTCTCCCATATAACATTGTACGTTTGATTGTCTCACCTTGTTACTTTGACATTTTAAATCTCTTCCTTACTACATTAACCCTTGATTGTCTCACCTTGTTACTTTGACATTTCAAATCTCTTCCTTATTACATTAACCCTTTGATTGTCTCACCTTGTTACTTTGATATTTTAAATCTCTTCCTTACTACATTAACCCTTTGATTGTCTCACCTTGTTACTTTGACATTTTACATCTCTTCCTTATTACATTAACCCTTTGATTGTCTCACCTTGTTACTTTGACATTTTAAATTTCCCTTATTACATTAACCCTTTGATTGTCTCACCTTGTTTACTTTGACATTTTAAATTTCCTTATTACATTAACCCTTTGATTGTCTCCACTTCAGCACTGGCCCTTTGATTTTCTCCATTTTTACGTTAGCCCTTTTTACTTTCTCGTATATACGTAGTATAGAGAAAGTATTGTAATCGTGCAAAAAAAAAATCGAGATTTTTACAAATCTCGACGTTTTACACCTCACTGATACGGAAAAACATAGTTTTGCAATTCTTGTCCGTATGTCTGTGTGTGTGTGTGTCTGTCTGTCTGTCTGTCTGTCCGTGTGTAAACACGATAACTTGAGTACCGTTACAGCTAGGTTGATGAAATTTCATATATAAGTATTTTATCAAAATCGTAGATCCGTATCAACTTTTGAGCGATTTCCGATAACCGGAAGTGGTACTTTTCCTACTTTGAATTTTTCAAAAGCCTATAACTTGAGTACTATTTCAGATAGATAAATGAAATTTCACATGTAAGTAAAAGATCTAATTCTCTACCTTCTGTTAAATTTTGAGTAATTTCCGTTGACCGGAAGTAGTAATTTACGCTACTTCCGATTTCTCAAAAAACTAATGTAAATTTTTAAAGTACTAATAATATTGCGCACTATTATACGCGTTTTTATTCGGCGTTTGCTTGGTGCGCAATGTTTTTTTTATGAGATTCTATTCTATTTTTAAAAGTTTAAGTATTTAAAATGGATTAAAAATCATAACTATATCCCCAGTTACCATCCCCTGTTGTTTTATATAAGAATATTCGAGAAAGTTTAGGGGAGATCACTACCGGTTTATTTTACATGTCTCCTTTATTATAGTAGCACTTTGATAGTCTGTCCTATTGCATAGGCCCTTTAATTGTCTCCTCTGTGACATTGATCCCTTGTCTATCTACAAACCAAATCTAGACGTTAACACTAATTTAAGTTTAAAAACATACTCGCTGTATGAAGTTGGGCAGAGAGTTCTATATATGCAAGGAAAGTTGTTGACTGTGTGCGTTAAGCTGAGCCATCATTGATTCTCACTCTCTCATCCATGGGGACTCAGGCCTCATGCAGGTACATGAAACAATCATACTTCAATCTTGGGGTTGGGTAGATGACTCTCTCACGACCTGCGCAAAACATTATTAGGCTATTCATGGCACAGAAATTATATAAGATTTTTTGTAAACAACTTCATTAGGTCTTATTTCAAGGAATATGTATTTCATTAGTTAGAATCTTTATTAGGCCACTTTATTAAGTCATTTCATTGCACGGAGTTGCATCAGGAACAAATTGTTCATATTTTCGAGGACCTCAAATAATTTATTGCGACTCTAAGGAAAAGGCCATTAATGCTCGAACATTCACCATGTTTTTTCCTCTCCTCCCCTCCCCTCCCGAACCCCGCAAACCCTACACTCCCACCTGTCAATTACATTTGTAATAATTGTCTGCAGGTACCCAAAGATTTCCGCATCAATGGCATCATTAGTGCACCTGCCACCCCTCTCAAAGACAATGGGTACGTCAGAAATATTTGACATATTTGAACAGGAAGCAATCTCACATTATCAATAGGGCATTTTCGTACTTACTACAGGACTATTTTTAGAAAATATATGACCAAAGTGTTCGAGACGGCGGATGGGGGTTCTGCTAAGTTGCGTATCACTCGTTGGGTAGAGTGATACTGTACGAACTCAGTTATGGACATACCTAGGGCGTGCTGGGGGTACCTTAGTTATTACGGTAACGGTGTCAGGGTATTTTGGACATAACCAGTTTTTATTGGTCTTAATTACACATAGATCGCGTACAAGAACTCGACTTTGTCTGCTAAACACACTTTACATCTAAATTTAAAACAACCTTATTTACAATGCATGCTTCAGTAGAGCTCAAAAAATGTACAGATTGAACTACAAATTTAAATCCCTTATCCCTCGTGAGACTCGAACTCCCACCCGCCTCCACAAGAGGCAGACACTCTACCGACATTGCAATGCCAGGATAATATTTTGTGAACATTATCTTCGATCAACAGGGACGTGGATACAGAAGCCGTCGAGTCTTACGTTGATTTTCTAGCCAACAACGACATCAATGGGGTGTTTGGTAAGATGATGACGTTAAATATGTAAAGCATTAGCTACATCAGATTGTCAAATTTTATGTTTGCCAACATTGTTGGATTGTCAGTCAAACCAAGTTTAATAAAAATTTAGTCAGTCAAATTTCCTATAATTTAAACATTGTTGTATTGTCAGCCACACTAAAATCAGAGATTATTGTATTGTCAGTTGTGTTTCCAATCTCTTCCATCAGTGCTAGGGACGCTAGGCGAGGGGTTATCTCTGACTGTTGAAGAAAGAAAACAAGTAGCGGCCGCTTGGGTGAAATACGGACAAGGGAAGTAAGTGCTAAAACAAGGGAAGTAAGTGCTAAAAACAAGGGAAGTAAATGCTAAAAAACAAGGGAAGTAGGCTAAAAACAAGGGAAGTAAGTGCTAAAAACAAGGGAAGTAAGTGCTAAAACAAGGGAAGTAAGTGCTAAAAACAGGGGAAGTAAATGTTTAAATAGGGGAAGTACGTGCTAAAACAAGGGAAGTAAGTGCTAAAACAAGGGAAGAAAGTGCTAAAACAAGGGAAGTAAGTGCTAAAACAAGGGAAGTAATTGTTAATAACAAGGGAAGTCCGTGTTTAAATAGGAAAAAAATAAGAAAAAATACTACAAAGAAATTAAGTTCTCAATACGGACAAGCAATGTAAGTGCTAAATATGGACAATGGAAGTAAATGCTTAATGCGGTCCTAAGTGGATCGATCGTCATGCTCGAAAGGGCACTTCACTTTACTTGTTTAACTAGCGTTAGTTGTAAAGTATCACGTGCCCTACTGTTAACTGATAGAGGTAGGTAACCATGACGCGCAGCTAAACCCTTACGCAACCGACTTAGAGTGACCATGACACAATCCTAACTCCGTGTGTAGCCGACTGTCAGATAACATCAAGTAACTATGACACAACTCTAAAGAGTATACTATAACCTGTGTATGGCGACTCTTCGCTGTCTAGACCTAAGTGGTGCACTTCATACATGGTATAGACATGCTCGTGACATCCAAAGTCCACACCTGACGTAATACAAATGTCCCCGCACCACATCACTGGGTCACCGCTACTTTGTATATGTCTGTCATTATAGCACTGACCCCCTTTTTACGTGGCCGTCACTATAGTACTAAACCCCTTTTTATGTGGCCTTCACTCACTATAGCGCTGACCCCTTTTGTATGTGGCCGTCACTATAGCACTGACCTACTATGTATGCGACCGTCACTATAACACTGTCCCACTTTATTTGAGATCATACAACAGCACTGACCCCCACCCTTGAATTAGACCATCACAATAAGACTGACCCCCACCACTGAATTAGACCATCACAATAGCACTGACCCCCACCACTGAATTAGACCATCACAATAACACTGACAACCCACTCACCTCCCTATCCTGCGATTACTGCCAACAACCCACCTTACACCCACCTCACCCCACCTCACCCCCACCTCACCCCCACCTCACCCCCACCTCACCCCACCTCACCCACCCTTAACAATAAATACAGCGAACTTTCACCTGGCAATTGTGTGGCCAACAGCTAACCATCCCCCACTCTCCTCTCCCACCCTTCCCCACCCCCCAAAATAAATTTAAAATAAATAAATAAACAACAATCACTGTTTTGGAAGCTGGCGTCAGACCGTTTTATTTTATAAATTTAATCAGACAAGTATCACACATTCACGTTTAAAAAATACAAATCTAAATTACGTATCAGTGAAACATATTTTTTGCATGTTTTTGTTTTATCTGTTAGGATCATTGTGTAGATAATACGTTTTTATCATGACTGGAGAAGAGGAAGTAATGATTGTGGACGATTATTAACGTGGGGGGAGGGGGCACGGGAGAGGATGTGTAAACATCACACGGATTTAATACTACACACATGGACACATATATACACATACATTCACACGCATGCACACATACACACTTGGTAAGGTTAACCATACACACGGAGTTTGAAACTTAAACATACAAAAAAATCACATCTAAACTGTTAGTAACACCTATAGGGTTCACTGTTTGTAGGTATAATGATGGCAACTTTCAAAAGATAATTCACATTTAAAAAGAAATTTGGTTTGTAATGAAGCTTAAAATCTAACAAAAAACTTAATATCAAATCTTAGGGTTACGTTTCATTGTTTCAAATTAAAAAAATACTTTTTTTGTGAAACAACTTTTTTTACGGTTAAAGTTTCCATTTCTATCAGGAACTTAAACCAAAGCCCACAAACGTACAGATGCATAATGGTATACAAACACAAAAATATGCGCGTAGCAGTAAAGATGCACACATAAATGTATACAAACACAAATATACACGTATACAAACGCACAGAAATGAAAGATTTATACAAATAATGACATACTAATATACACGTATACAAACACACATAAAAGAAATAATACACAAATAATTGCATACAAACGCAAACATACACGTATACAAACGCACACAAAACAAACGTACACACACATAATAACATACAAACACAAATATACACGTATACTTACGCACATAAAAGTAACCTACACACAAATAACGCCATACAAACGCACACACAAATGCACAAGGCAACAAAGTTGCACACAATATACACACATAAATACACGCACACACAAACGCACACAAACACAAAAAGCAAGTTTCTCTTATTACTTGTTTACAAAGCTGGTGGTAGATAGAACGCAAAAGTGGACATTTCTTCCTCCAACTTTCCTAAACCAATTCCCTTCCTTGTACCCCCCCCCCCCACCCCGTCCCTCATGCTTGGATTCACATGTATCGTGGCAGACTGAGTTAGTCATGAATATCGTGCATGTTGTTGTTACACTACACAAGTTTAGCTGATGTCGTGTTGTTGTTATTTTCGGGACGATATTTCTTGGAATTGTGTACATTTTATTTATCTTAAGAATATACATCCTTATACCCACCTCTGACCTACAAAGTTATGTAACATTCCACACACAACCCGGATCCTATTACATAACTGTCTTTCCTCCTTTGTGCCCCCTCCCCCTCTCCCAAAAAAGTGTGCATTAATTTGTTACTTTAGAAATGTGGGTTGTAAAATAAATTTTGAGACGCGCACGCCACTTTACAGAAAAATCTTTCTTTCAAATCGTTAGAAATATTTATCAAGCCCTGAATACAAATATAAAAAGGTTTAAACCGGTTACGTCAACGGATTCATTCAACCAATCTAAATAATAAAACGTTGGCAAAATAAATTAATAAATAGATGAATAAAACGTAAACAATTAAAGAAAATTATAAAGAAAATCAAACATTTTACATAACATTTCTCTATATCACCCCTCACTGCCTCTCAGTTATATAAATATGTGCACGATTCCTTTATACTCAAACAACTCCATTCATGGATATTCATCAACATTAGCACGCCATACACATAACAAACTAATTAAGTTGTTACGTTGATCAGAGGTGATATAATATAATTATGACTGAAATATTTCAAATTTCGTTCTAAATTTTAATGAGTTCGAAGATTTGAAATTAATTAATTTTTGGAAAATAGTGCTTGCTTAAAATACTTCCTCTATGCTAGACGTGAATTGATATACAGCCACAACCTAAGAAATATTAGCCAATCGTTAGCGAGCTTGCTAGCCAGCAGAAACGAAGCCAAAACTTGAGAGTATTGATAGCTTGCCAAATTCTGTATTCATGCGTTCTTTATGTATAATAATACTAGCTTTTGTCAGGCTTTTCTTTCCGATAGCAAGCTGATTGGTTTAAAATGCAAAAGCCCTTGATGTAAACAAGGTTTAGATTATTTGGATACATTAGATACATTATATATTCTAGTCAAAATAAAACAAGCATAACAATAGCAAAGTAATATTTTGAATATACAGAAATATATATTTATTACAACAGGACAAATCAAGTGTTTTACCGTGGTGGTGTTGTGGGGGGGGGGGGGGGTGTTTGAAATTTATACAAAGACTAAATTGCAATATATAGAGCTGGTGTTTCAATTAATGTACATTATTTTAGTATCTAGTTTCAGTTAAATAAAATATGTGAAGGGCTACCATCCCTCCCGGGGCAAATTTTTTTTTTGTTTCTGGCAATTCTTGATTAATTAAGTTATCATATAGAGTAGCATCTCGCTAAATTGACAGTGGAATCTGCAGAGGAAATAGTATATGAGTCAGCATAGTGGTCAGTACAGGAGTCAGCCAGTATATCACGTGTAGGAGTCAGCTGCTGCAGCATATGTAGGAGTCAGTGAATACATTACGGCGCTAAAATATTTAATTGGCCCAATTTTGACAAAATCAAGTCATTGACAGTCATTTCTGACTGGAAAGTTTCTGACTGGAAAGTCAAGTCATTGACAGTCATTTCTGACTGGAAAGTCAAGTCATTGACAGTCATTTCTGACTGGAAAGTCAAGTCAGTGACAGTCATTTCTGACTGGAAAGTCAAGTCATTGACAGTCATTTCTGACTGGAAAGTCAAGTCATTGACAGTCATTTCTGACTGGAAAGTCAAGTCATTGACAGTCATTTCTGACTGGAAAGTCAAGTCAGTGACAGTAATTTCTGACTGGAAAGTCAAGTCATTGACAGTCATTTCTGACTGGAAAGTCAAGCCATTGACAGTCATTTCTGACTGGAAAGTCAAGTCATTGACAGTCATTTCTTACTGGCAATTCAAGTCATTGACAGTCATTTCTGACTGGAAAGTCAAGTCAGTGACAGTCATTTCTGACTGGAAAGTCAAGTCATTGACAGTCATTTCTGACTGGCAATTCAAGTCAGTGACAGTCATGCCTGACTGACAAATCTAATGTTTTTAACTTGATTGCTGTTATACGTAAGTTCTCTTAAATAGGCGTCACATGTCACCCAGCTGAATGGCAATGAATAGTCTCTAACTGTTTCGTTGGACTCGGTTGAAAGTTTTTTTATATAGGGGGTCGCACCGCACTTTTTTCAGCCGTGTTGTTTTTTTTACAAGCGGTAGAATGTCTCCAAGACCGTTTCATCAAATGAAATCTAGATTTGGCTCGCTTATGTATTTTTAAAACTGTCAGTGTTTGCTAGCAAAGGTATAGGAACATATTATGCGAGTGTAAACTGGAGTGATATATAAAAATTACTACTTTATTAAACAACAGTACTATTTACATTAAACCTATCAATCTATTTCTCTGCCACGTTGGTTGGTGCTTAATACATACATAACACACACACACACACACACACACAAACACACAAACACACAGACAGACAGACACACAAACACACAGACAGACAGACACAAACACACACACAGAGACAGACACACACACACAGAGACAGACACACACACACACACTCACACACAGACACACACTACGTTTACAATAGAAAGACTTGTTTAATTGACCCGGTCATGTATATATTAAATGAATTGTTCCCTTCTCTAGCTTGTACGCGCACAAGGATATGACTTATTTAAACGGCCGTGCACACATCAAAATGACTTTTTTTCATTGACCAGGCCTCCACTATACAACATGCCGTTTTATTGATCTTGTACACATTAAAATGACTTGTTACATTGATAATAGAGAAATAAAATGACTTATTTAATTGATCATATATACATTAAAATAATGTAGTCATTACAATCTTGACTTATTTCATTGATCATATAGGCTAAACATTAAAATGACTTGTTTCATTGATCAATAGGTTAAACATTAAAATGACTTGTTTCATTGATCATAGAGAAATAAAATGATCATATAGGCTAAACACTAAATGACTTATTTCATTGATAATATAGACATTAAACGACTTGTTTCATTGATCATATAGGCTAAACACTTAAATGACTTGTTTCATTGATCATATACACATTTAAATAACTTGTTTCATTGATCATATACAAATTAAAATGACTTGTGTAATCGATCATATACAAATTAAAATGACTTGTGCAATTGATCATACACGCATTAAAATGACTTGTTTGATTGATCATATAGACATTAAAATTACTTGTTTCATTGGCCAGGTTGTCTTCGGTGATTGTACATGTCGGCACGGGCAATCTAAGGGACACAATCCAACTGGTAATTACCACTTATTATAGAATATTATTAGTGGTGTTGTTGTAAATCATTACGTCAAGGTAAACATTAATTGTTGAGTAAATAATGGCGACTCTATACAACAACGTTTTTATCGATGGGTAACGTCGATAACATAAAACAGTCATCAAATATCACTCGTATAAAACAAACTAAAATTACGACAAAGTAACAAATATATAATCTCTAGATGACAGAACAGGACTTTATTTCAGAGGAAAAGCCAAAAGTTCCAATTTAAAAAATTTACCAGATTGATTAGACTTCTGAACATACACTGTCTATTTCGAATTTTAATTTTGACTAGGGTAAAAAAAAAAAAAAAAAAAAAAAATTTACCAGATTTAAAAGAGCCAATAACATTTTCATTTCTTTATTATGAAATAAATAACTTTAAATATGAAATAATATTTATTCATATAAAAACGTACTTATGTTTCGCACAAAAAATATTAAAGTATTTTAGCTAGTTCTGCTAGAATAATACAATCAATCATCAAAATTATATAACTAATTATTGAATTATATTTACAATAATTTTGCCTTGCATGCCGTTTGAAAGTTTGGTTAAATCTGGCAACTTGCTGTTTTCAGTTTCAAGCACACCTCTAAATTTTTATTTGTTAGTTGCCTTCTTTCTTTACTTTTTTTTTTTATTCATGCAAGAAAACGCTTGCTCGCATGAATATGTTGACCCGAAAATCGTCAGCACTCCACATGCAAACTTCTTCCCCTTAAGTGCTTAAACTCTCGCCATTTCTTTTAGAGCTGTCCACTTGTGCAGCGTAACGTGTTTGTTTTACTGGACCTCCAACTATTTTTACTTGCACTTGAGTTCTACGAATTTACCGCTCCACAAATGTGTCGTTTTCAAATCCAGCTATTTCATTTGAAGAGAACCAGCATCAATTACAAACAGCTCAAAGCTAATCTCATTTGTTTTTGAGAGAATCTACTATGAACGTCAGAGTACTTGCATAATAACTTGCATGTTTTTAAATGCTCAAATCTCTCAGTGAACCCATCCTTCATTTTGTTTATTTTAATACTGAAGTAATTAATGTTAATAGTTGCATTGGTTTCATCACATTTTATAAAGATTTTTCGAAATTAAGTAATTTACCGCTCTACGTATCTTCAACAAAAAATATTTTATCTAAAAAAAATTGGGATCAGAGTTTCTTCCAGGCATCACTTCGGGAGCACACCCCCACCCTCCGAAGAGGGTCGACCCTATATAATTTATATAGAAAATACTTTTAAAAGTGTCTCTCCACCCCCCCCCCCCCCCCCACATTTCTGGAAGAAACACTGTTCGAGATGGACAATTTAATAGGAATTCCATTGAAACAGGGAGTAACTAAACATTCTAATAGAACAGCAAGTGATAATTGTTTATATTTATTCTTATATCGTTTTCAGAAAAAAAAAATGAGTTTTGAAAATAAAATAAAATAAGTATTAATATTTGTGCATGGAGCTGAAGAGCCGCATATTGCCATCGAAAGAGCCGCATGCGGCTCGCGAGCCGCAGGTTGCCGACCCCTGATTTAAGACAATATGCCGTGGCTTAACCAGAGTTTCTTCCAGACATCTCTTCGGGAGTCCGCCCCCCACCATAGAAAGTCTACCGCCCCCCCCCCCCAGTGTCCGCCCACCCGGAAAATGTCCGCTCCCCCCACCCCTCCGCAAATAATAAATGTGCCCCCATGGAGAAAAAAGTCTGGAAGAAACACAGGTGTTAACGATGATAAATTTTAATGCAGCATTACGCAACCAATAAAAGGAAAATTTTAATTATTTTATATTTTTTTTTATTGTTTACATAAAATTAAAAGCTTTGTATTAATGTTTTTCATAGACCTACAGGATTTGGTTTCAGCGTTGATTATCTAAGAATAGTAAATATATCTTCTTCGTTCTTTGTTGTAATGTTAAACGGGATTTCATCCAACACTTAAATATTACGTGTCAACATGTATGCGACATATGGCCGTTGGCTCCGATTTCATCCTGCTTTTCTTTCTGGATTTTTGGATTTGCTTCCATATCCTTTGTCCACCCAAGAACAAACTACAACAAAGTAGTTGTTTGATTTTGAAGTTTTCTCTCCTAGATGGGCTGCTGTCCTCAGCTAACGAGCCTCATCTGTCCGGAGATTGACACTTTAAAACATTACTAGTTGAATACATTCGTCACATTTTTGGCACTCATTGGTTAGTTGGTTAGGAGTCAATTTGTTTCTTTCTAAAACAACAGAACTCTCTAGGTTGTTGTCTAGATCAGGGTACAAATCCGTACCGTTTATAACTTTTCCCATACATTAGTTTTATCTGGTCCTATTTAGCATGGTCTCTGGGCTCTAAGATTTGTGAACATTTAAAACAGCCGTGAACACCAGATCATCTGACTGATTAACTAAGTCACTAAGTGATAAAGAAACCTCAAGTTATCTTAAAAAAGAAACAAAGAAAGACAACTGCACTTAAACAGACTGCCTGTGAAATTTATCAAGATGGCCTCCCTTGTTATGTAACACATTTATATTATTTAAATTTTTTTTTTTTCAAATTGAAAATGTAACGTAATTTTTTAAAAAAAATTAAGCAATTGCACCTGTAATTACAAAAAATAAGTTTTTAAAAACTTATTTTCGATGGATAGATCTATACATTTTTCAAACTCCAAGTAGTGATAGTACACCATCTCGGCAATACTAGAAAATTGAGGTGATTTTTTTTTCAAACATACAAATTTATGACCATACATCTTTTTAGATCAGAGTTTCTTTCAGGCATTTATACGGGGACTAGGGAGGGGGCACTGCCCACCCGATGTACGTCCACAGCTCCTCTGAAGAAATAGAGAAAATATATAATACATAATTACATTATTCTATGTAATTTATAAAGAAAATAAATATTCAACATAGTGTCTTCGGCCCCCCACCCCGCGCGAAAATGTTAGTGTGTGACCCCTACCCATTCCCCTCGGAGAAAAACCAGTTTTTTTTTCAAGAGTAGCACGGTTTAGATAACATGGATCCTGCGGTATCCACACCCGTTGGTGGAGGGCAGTAAAGAATATAGAGCCCTACACATTTTTATAGAAAATATATACTTGAACCACCCAACACACTTTTAAGAGTATATTCGCGTGTCTTTTTCATGACATTGTATTTGTATCTATTTCAGGCGCGACATGCAGGGGAGGTGAAAGCAACAGCCATTGCCTGTATGTCGCCGACGTATTTCCGGCCCCAAACCGAAGGTGTGAACTATGTATAGATCTAGTATTAACTGAAATTTTTAAAATGAAGATTTGAATGATAGGCATAATAGAGTATACACGTATAAAAATGTATTGAAATTCTTTTTTTTAAATAAATAAAGGATTTTATTTTGAAACACTAGATTTGAAACACGGGATTCAACATATTTTTAACAGTTATTGATTTTTTGAATTGGTTTCACCTCTGGTATTACATGGTACTAACCCCCCTCCTCCTCCTCCTTGCGTTATAACCGTTTCATAACTTTTTATAGACTGGTTTCTCCACCTATTCAACAACTCACACTGCAATATTTTTGTTTCCATGGTTACAGAAATCATGGTGACATACATGGAGCAAGTCGCAGCCGCCGCCCCCGACACGCCCTTCTACTACTACTGTATCAACTTCATGAGCGGGGTCAACCGTAAGTCATGCGCGGCTGGTCAGTGCTGTCTCATGTGATAGCAGCTGTATGTGTACGTCCTTACTATATCGCGGCTTGAGAGTGTAAGTTAGTAAAGTACCCTTTAGACGCAGGGCAGGTGAAGTAGAGCTCACCTGTTTCTGTGACCAAGAGAAAGTGTGGTCAGCACAATGCTCAACCGTTGTTACTCTCTTTAACGTGAGTCAGGTACCCGTCAGAGCTGAGTGAACTCAGGCTCGTTCTACTGACGCGAAACTGTGATAGACAGTGCTGTATGTTGATATTTTCGATATTCTACTGATCATCTATTTGATTCCACATTTAGTTGATTTATAATTCCTTCCAAATATCAGAATATCTCAACTTTAATCACCGATCTATCCATGTACATCCACTCCTATAACTTATTAATCGATCTCCAATACATAATTTAAAACACACTATAAATAAAAATTCATCAGCTCATTAGATTATCCAGCCAACTATTCAAGCACACAGCCAACCACAAACATAACCGCACAACCAGCCTTAAGCATAACCACACAACAGCCATCGACATACTCATCCTTGGTCTCAAACCCCCATCCTCCTCTATACTATCAACCCATCATTTATTCCACCATCCACCTAGTTACTACTCTTTCTCCCATCCACCCTCTCGTCAATATCCACCTACTCCTCTACCAAACCATCAACAACTCTCGATCAACACCATCAACCAACATTCACTAACCCAACCATCAACATTCATGCACCACTTCCACCCATTCATCTCCATCCACTCATCCATCCACCCCTTCCCCCACCCCATGATCCACCTATCCTTCTAACCATCCATTCATCTACATCCACATCCACCCCTTCCCCCACCCATGATCCACCATCCACCCATCCTTCTAACCATCCATTCATCTACATCCACATCCACCCCTTCCCCCACCCATGATCCTCCATCCACCCATCCTTCTAACCATCCATTCATCTACATCCACATCCACCCCTTCCCCCACGCATGATCCACCATCCACCTAACCACCCATACACCATCCACCCATCCACCATCTACCCACCCATGATCCACCCATCCACCCATCCTTCTAACCATCCATTCATCTACATCCACATCCACCCCTTCCCCCACCCATGATCCACCATCCACCCATCCTTCTAACCATCCATTCATCTACATCCACATCCACCCCTTCCCCCACCCATGATCCTCCATCCACCCATCCTTCTAACCATCCATTCATCTACATCCACATCCACCCCTTCCCCCACCCATGATCCACCATCCACCTAACCACCCATACACCATCCACCCATCCACCATCCACCCACCCATGATCCACCCATCCACCTACCCACCCATCCACCCACCCATGATCCACCCACCCACCTACCCACCCAACCAACTAACCACCCATCCACCCATCCCCAGTCAACACGGCCAGGATCCTACAACTGGCTGACGACCGTATCCCCACCCTCCGTGGCATCAAGATGTCATCACGTGAGCTCCCCTCCCTGTTGGACTGTACCCAGGTCTGTGGGGGCAAGTTTGACATCATGGTCGGCACTGACGAGGTTTGTCTCACCAAAGTTTATACGAAACTACAATACCACCAGTGTTTCTTCCAGACTTTTTTTTCTCCTGGAAGGGGGGGGGGGGACATTTTAGATTTTCGGGGGAGGGGGGCGGATTAAAATTTCCGGAGGGTGGTGGACACTGTTAAAAGTATATATTTTCTATATAAATTCCATTTCTTTCAGGGGGGGGGGGGGTGCGATAGACTTTCTTCTGAGAGGCTCCGCCCCCCCCCCCCCCCCCCTCTACCCCGAAGAGATGGCTGGAAGAAACTCTTATTATCACTTTACCCTAAAGTTAATTATAATTTATACCCCGGATGAACACCTTAAATAAGAACGTTTTTTAGACTAACCACATGCTTTGCAACAGCAACTCCTGCCTGCCTTGAGTTTAGGGGTTCGAACCCCAGTGTTGAATGGCTACTTGGGTTCGGTGTTCAAGAGGATGAGGTCAGCGTTTGACAGTGGCGACATGGACGGTGCCAGGAAGGAGCAGGTTTTAGCCAGGAAGATTTTCCTCGTCAGCACAAAGTATGGTAGGTTGTGTAGGCGTGACACTGGTTGTTATGGGCGGGACACTGGTTGTTATGGGCGGAGCGCTGGTTGTTATGGGCGGGACACTGGTTGTTATGGGTGGGACACTGGTTGTTATGGGCGGGACACTTGTTGTTATGGGCGGGAAACTGGTTGTTATGGGTGGGGCACTAGTTGTTATGGGCGGGAAACTGGTTGCTATGGGCGGGGAATAGTTGTCATTGGAGGGACACTGGTTGTTATGGGCGGGTCACTGGTTGTTATGGGTGGGGCACTAGTTGTTATGGGCGGGAAACTGGTTGTTATGGGCGGGGAATAGTTGTCATTGGTGGGACACTGGTTGTTATGGGCGGGTCACTGGTTGTTATGGGCGGGTCACTGGATGTTATGGGCGGGGCACTAGTTGCAAAGGGCGGGTCACTGGTTGCTATGGATGGGACACTGGTTGTTATGGGCGGGGCACTAGTTGCAAAGGGCGGGTCACTGGTTGCTATGGATGGGACACTGGTTGTTATGGGCGGGGCACTAGTTGTTATGGGCGGGTCACTGGTTGTTATGGGCGGGTCACTGGTTGTCTGGTTGTTATGGGATGGGCACAGGTTGTTATGGGCGGGGCACTAGTTGCTACGGGCGGGTCACTGGTTGCTATGGATGGGACACTGGTTGTTATGGGCGGGGCACTAGTTGCTACGGGCGGGTCACTGGTTGCTATGGATGGGACACTGGTTGTTATGGGCGGGGCACTAGTTGCTACGGGCGGGTCACTGGTTGCTATGGATGGGACACTGGTTGTTATGGGCGGGGCACTAGTTGCTACGGGCGGGTCACTGGTTGCTATGGATGGGACACTGGTTGTTATGGGCAGGTCACTGGTTGTTATGGGCGGGTCACTGGTTGCTATGGATGGGACACTGGTTGTTATGGGCGGGGCACTAGTTGCTACGGGCGGGTCACTGGTTGCTATGGATGGGACACTGGTTGTTATGGGCAGGTCACTGGTTGTTATGGGCGGGTCACTGGTTGTCTGGTTGTTATGGGATGGGCACTGGTTGTTATGGGCGGGGCACTAGTTGCTACGGGCGGGTCACTGGTTGCTATGGGTGGGACACTGGTTGTTATGGGCGGGACACTGGTTGTCTGGTTATTATGGGCTGGGCACTGGTTGTTATGTGTGTAGCAGTAGCTGTTACGGGCGATACACTAGTTAAACACATCTGTACACAAAATGTGATGTTTACTGTACATGGAGACACAATGTAGGCCTACTAAGAGTTGTAAATGGAGACACAATATAGTACGGGTAGGGACAAAAGCAGAGAAAGGTCCTGGGTATTATAGGGTTGGTGTTCCTCGCTTAATCAAAGCACGTAGATGTAATAGCTAGGAATTACAAAAAAAAAATTCATGTTTTTCTCTATATTTTACATATCCTACCCCCTTTACATACAGCATGTTCATCATGTTCAGACCTTGGCATATGAAGTGATAGCATTGTCAGCAATATGCCTAGCCACGTATTTGAACTCGAGACGCTTGGATTAGCAGTCTAGCCGTCCCTCATACAGCAAATTAGCTGGACCTAAATACTAATCTACTTTGTATTGAATTAGCTCTAGACTGCCAGTCTGTCTTGCTGCAATATATCTAGCGGTTACTCCAACAACCGGCCCGATACTTTCATTTGTTTCAGGCGGAGGTCCAGCATTCGTCAAGGCCGCCATGAAGTGTTTGGGGGTGGAGGCAGGTCCAGTGCGGCTCCCCCTGGTGGACATCCAAGAGGACCTCCTCCCCTCCATCAAGAGGGACCTAGAGGAGTGCGGCCTACCGGTCAAGTAACGACGAGATAGGCTGATGCAGGCTTCTACAATGATTGCTGTAAAATCTGCTGCATACAATTAAGTGTTTTTTGCCAGACTTTTTTCTCCGGGGAGGGGAGGGGGGGCACTTAAGAGATGCCTGGAAGAAACACTGACACAATTACCAGTTTTGTCTTAGCGAAATCATGGAGAAAAAAAGTATAATAATACTGCCAGTATTTAACAAATATCCAATACATTTTTATGTCGTATTTTTATGTCACTTAGACTTATTTTCATATTCACAGCGTATATATTATTACTGCATTATTATAATCAATAAAAATAATTATGTGTGTTTAAAAATAACTACACAATGTTTTTTAATTTCTTTTGTTTATTAGAGGTGTTAGACACGAATGCCTAAAGGTAAAGCGGGCACAATTTTATATGTAGGCTTGATCTACGCATTTATTTATTTTTTTAAATTTCAACTGTGCTATAATAGCAGTTTACGAGACTTGCTTTAGACTTGGCAAATAAACATATTTTTTAACAAAGGGCTGTTTGTCATGAAAACCCCAAAGCCTAACATAAGCCAACTAGATATATTATGCTGTTTCAGTTGATCTGAGGTCGTTTTGTACACCTGGGGCTGGGGGTTGGAGGGATCGGACTTTTATGACGGTGTGTAATAAGGGTAGGGGGCAGTAAATGTAACGTCATACCTTTGCATAACCCACTTAACGTTGACCTGCCTTAGTTTTGTGACGATGTGCAACAAATGCGAGAAGAGGGGGAGTAAAAGTGTACCCCCCCCCCTCAAAAAAAAGAGAAAAAAAGTGTGACGTCATTTGTGGACGACCTCTAATCCTTCGATTCTCCCACATATTACGTAAAACCCATGTTCTATAGTGGTTTGGCAAGGGGAGGGCGGGATGGGCGGCCGCCTCGGGCGCCGACCCTAAGGAGGCGCCAAAAGGGCAAGAAAAAAAATTAAAACGCTCAAGCTGGGGTATTGAATTATACACAGTTAAAGTTAAGAAAGTACAAGGCTATATGGCTTTACACAGAGATTTAAATGTTTTCTACATCAGTCGTGTGCCACAACTATAGAGAAACACTTTACGGGATGGGTAGTGACTGATAGAAAGCGCCAGTAACAACATTTCCAACTAGGAGGGGTGGGTGAGCTTTTCACCAAATTGAATAACTACATGTGTAATTGGACGGGGGTGGGGGGGGGGGGGGAATAAGAGGGAGCAAAATTGATACTGAATAGTTTTACCTGGGCGCAGGAATCGGTCGCTTTACCTCTGATGTTCGATATGTAAGGCTACAACTTAAGAATAAACAAAGACGCAAATTAGTTTATGCTAATTTAGAACTTGATTAGATAAATAAGGAAAATTCACATTGTCGTAAGCTTTTAGGCTACTAGATCTAGTAAATCATAAACTGATAGTGTGATTTGTAAACTTGCAAAAAAAAGCCTTCTGTAGGATGTTTGATTTAAACAAGCTAATTTTAAAATATGCATATTAGTTATATCAAAATTATAGTCCTACTTAGATCTAGTAGGCTACAGGCTTACTGATTCTTATGATCTGTGTAACATTATTGATGAAACCAGTGTGACCAGATGTTACCCATTGTGGCTTACGTGCGTATTTAATAAATAATAGGTCAACAGCTCCCGCTTACAATATACTTTAAATTATTTATGGAAAACAGGTAGGTTTATTTAATATAACCTTTATAGTAGGTTATCAGAAATGCAAATATAAGCATTAAAACTAGATCAATAATATTACACAGAAACGGTTTATAAAATTGCGAAGAATCGATAAAAACTGGCACATTGTCAGTATGAGATCTAGATCTAGATCTAGATCTAGATCTAGAACTAGATCTTAGATTTAGTTAGACTCAGCCTATAATAACATTCTACCAACGTAAAGCTCCACAATAAAAATAGAACCTTCTTTTGAAATATTTTATTTTAAAATTATTCTATACTAAACGAATATCAGCTGACAGTAAATATAATGGATGGACCTAGAACTAAATTAATCTCTTATTAAATAAGCAGATTTTAAACTAGGCCATGTTTTTTTTTTTTACTTTTGTACAATTAAAAAATTTTTAAACTGCGACCTGGTTCAGTAACTACAGCAGTACGTCTTATTTTAGTTGACTCATAGTCACGAAGAATAACAATAAACAAAAACGATTATGGCTGTGTTCTTCTAGAAACTAGATTCTAGATCTAGATGTCAGATGTAGATCGAGATTCTAGAATATATAGATCTAGATCTAGATCTAGTAATAAAGACTAGTACTAGATCTAGTAGTAGGCTCAATCTACAGTTTTAAGTAAATTTTAACTAGATCTATCATATCATGATCATGGCTATGGCCCACCATGGCTTGACAAAACTGGACTCTGCACCATATTAATTTTAAAATAATATTAATATTACAATACAAAACTATAATTTTTTTTTTTTAATAAACTAAAAGTTAAATCTGCTGGGTATAGTGCTGACCACACTACTTATACTATACTTCCATATGCTTAGGTCACAAAAACAGATGAACTCTATTTCACTGTGCCCCATTTACTTTCTCTATGAAGTATGAAGAAGGTAATCTATCGTTTTAGGTACGTAAAATCGCCCGCGACTAGTAATGTGAAAAACAGGTGACTCCTTACATTTTAATAATTATTTCACATTTTGAGGAGGATTTATGTTTTGAAAAATACAAAAATGTTTCCTTGTTTCATTTATGTACCTGTTTTTAAACAATTGAATTAAAACTTTTCAGTAATAAATGAACACCAGCGATGTTTCCAACAGATGCAACCATGCTCATTTACTATAGCAGCCATCTTGTTAAAGTTTTATTTTTATTGACATATAGTGCAAGATTCAGGCGGAAGTCACTCTATTTTACAAATGGCCGCTGTTTATATAGCAAATCTTGCTTGCAGGCACTGCTGTTTAAAGTTAATTTCTGGCCTATATTGATATATTTAGCCATTGATTTAGGTTTATTATTCATTTATCTATAATATTTGACACAAACATATCACAATATACTTCTATTACAGCCTTGACAATGAGGTAACGTTTTCGTACATTAATAGCCGCGGGCGATTTTACGTACCCAAAACGATAGATTACCATGAAGAAAGCCTTGACTTGTGTAATTGTGCAAAAAAAAAAAAATTGAGATTTTTGCAAATCTCAACATTTTACACCTAGTTTTGAAATCTTGTCTGTGTGTGTGTATGTATGTGTGTGTGTGTCTGTGTCTGTTTACTTGAGTACTGTTACAGCTAGGTTGATGAAAATTCCTGGATTATATTAAAATTGTAGATCCGTATCAACTTTTGAGCGATTACCGATAACCTGAAGTGGAACTTTTTCTACTTTCAATTTTTCAAAAGCCTATAACTTGATTTCAGATAGATAAATGAAATTTCACATGTAAGTAAAAGATATAATTCTCTGCCTTCTATCATATTTTGAGTAATTTACGTTGACCGGAAGTAGTAATTTTCATTATTTCAGATTTCTCAAGAAACGCATGAGAGTTTATAAAGTACTAAGATTTGCTTTTTTTTTCTACCAGATTATATTCTATTTTAAAAAGTTTAAGTAATTAAAAATCATATCTATATCCCGAGTTGCCATTCCCCGTAATGTTATATAAGAATATTTGAGAAAGTTTAGGGGAGATCACTCCTGGTTTATTCATCATTGTTATGATAATAAGTTTTAATAAGTAATTCAATTCAATTAGGTGTGTGCACAGATTGTTGAATTTTGAATTGATAAGCTTTATAATAGTAATATTAATATAAGTTCATTAACCAGCTGATAAATTAATTGCTTAGGAAAATAATAAGAATATAAAAGGTGTTTTACATACAGTCTAATTATCATTTTCTGAATAATGTAATTGTGAATAATTGTAATCATAAGTAAGCTTTCATTATACTTAAATATTGTATATGAACCTGTTATTTGACTGTTATTGTGTTTTGTAATAAGTTGAAATTTAAAGTTTAAATTAACTTCTCTTTTAGGCCAAGATGCTTTAAAATTTAACACAATTTATCCCTTGATATGAACTGTGTCACTTACTACTTTATGCAGCCATGAGTGAAGAAGGCTTTAGCATTAACACAAATGATACTGGAGAAATCTCTGCATCATTCAGCCCCAAAAAAATGCCACCAGAGAGCCCTGCCACACCCAGCCCTGAGTGTGAGTACACTGAATCTCAAAGTTTGGTCAGCGTGGGACAAGACAAACAGAATTTGTCAGTTTGGCAGGATGTAGATTTACGAGAAGGCCAGAATCTCACAGATAAAAGCAGCACCATTGTAAATGATGAATTTGGGGATCCAGTGTCGAGGTCAACACCTAAAATAAAACATTCCACTTCTGCTGTTCTGTCCACCTGCACATCAGACCGCGCCCCCTTGTTGAAAAGTCGGTCATCGACAACAGATTCATGCATTGGCTGTGATATTGAAACAGAGTCTGAGAATTCCTGTGGTTTCAGTGACCAGCTGGACGGGGAAGGTTCTGAGTGTGGTGGGTTAACTACTGTGGTCAAGGCGCTGGAAGCAAGCAAGGAATATCTCATGATGCCTGGGACAATTTTAGTGCCGATTGTAGGCCATGAGACAATGGAAGCTCGCTCGAAATTCACGGTAAATGAAAATATAAAACAACTAGATAATAAACATGTTAAGCCTTCATATTTTCTATATTTCAGCTTTGAATGCATGGAATTGTAGCATTTTTATGATTACAGTATTCTTAGCCATCTTTTATTTCTCCATTTTAAAATCATGAAATTGCAAAGAAATAATGTTCTGCAACATTTCATTTTTCGAAAAAGAAAACAAATAAAAATTTTATTTAAAAAAATGTGCTTACATTTTATTATTGTGATTTATCAGTTTTGAATTATAAAATTAATTTTTTTTGTTTTATATTACAAAAGGTTTTCAAAATCCATGTAACACTATCAGAAGATGATTTGGGCTGGTTTATTTTTAGAAGATATTCAGACTTTTGTCATTTAAATGATCAAGTAAGTGTCTCATTACATTCACTAGGGTGTTGTAAATTAAGCTGTTTTAAAACATCCTGAAAAAAAACACCTGTAATTGTAATAAGCTTGTTATTAAGTTTGATATTTCTTTTTTAAACTTTGTAAATTTATATTTGTGTTATTCCTTGGATTTATCAAAAGCAGAAGCTAATCAATTATAACTTTTGAGGAAATAATTTCAATATCATCTCCCTTAACAAATTGTATTATTAATAGGTTATCTTTTCTTTTACAGCTTGCTGTCCTCTTTCCTAACTTTCGTCTCGCTTTGCCCCCAAAGCGTTGGTTTCGCAGCAATTTTGATGCAGAATTTTTGGAGGAAAGGCAGCTAGGTTTACAAGCTTTTCTCAACAATGTCACTGGCCATAGGGATATAGTCAACAGGTGACATTTCATTTTTTAATTAAAGTATATCAAAACAGTGTGTTATGCATTTTAATTATGAGTGTAACACCCACATTGTTAGTTAGGAATCCAATACATTTAAAATTAGCTGAAATTTTTTTAACATTCCTGGAAAATGAAGCTTTTTAAGAAATGTTTTTTGTCTACAAATTATTTTAATATAGAATGATTAAAATTTCTACAATTCATCAGGGACTGTTCAGTAATCCTGCACTTCCCCTGAGATGAAATTTTAACCTTAAAAAGCCACATAATTCTCCATAGATTTGTATTATTAGCAAAATTTATTAGATTTGTGTTTAACTCATCAGTTAAAAAAGATATAATTATATCCTTAAATTTCCCCAATTTCATGTTAGCCTACAATATTAAGCTTACTTATAAATTCTTTATTTAATTTTCAAGCATTTAACAAAGATTTTTAAAAAATGTAACACAAATTGAATGTTATATAAAATAATTAAAAATATTTATCAAATAACTAATCAGTCTCACAAAATAATATTCAATTTAAACAAATATTTATCAAATAACCAATCTGAATAGGACACTTTTATTGAGTAAAAGAAACAATTTTTCAGTCAACCTGTCCGGGACTTCTTTTGTTTTGATGACCCACCTGGTCCCCATGATAGCCTGGAGGAGAGTCGGGTTAGTACATCTGATTTAGACATCTTAATTAAGTAGCTAATGAGTCACATCGTTTCTGGAGTGCGGAAAAGCTTACATATGATGGTATTTTTTAAATTTGAATATTTAAAAATTCACTATGTTGCATCAGCACTTAAATTAACTTATTGAGGCATAATTATTTTGATCCGAAAGAAATAAAGTCATACATCAACTAAAAAAAATAGCTAGTATTGTTCGACTAAATAATAAGTAATTTTCAATCTTAATTTTATTTTACAATTATGTACTGTTATAAATGGCCTTGGTTAGCTCTCAATTGTGACAGTAAAAAGTAACACCAACTCATCTAAGTTATCTTGCTGTTTGAATGACTGCTATTTAATAATTTTGTATTGCCATCTCCCTTTTGTCACTTTTGAATTAATTTTTATTGATGAATTTAATATCTTATAAGATTTAAAATACAATTTTTTTGCATTAACACAAAATTTTTTTCTCTGTACCATAGTCTTATTTAACAATCATATTCTGCTAGTTCCATGTTCAGTGAATGGTCCTCATATGTATTTTCTCTCACCCTAGTCTTAATGAACATTCATGTTCTGCTAGTTCCATGTTCAGTGCATGGTCCTCATGTATTTTCTCTCACCCTAGTCTTAATGAACATTCATGTTCTGCTAGTTCCATGTTCAGTGAATGGTCCTCTCATGTATTTTCTCTTTACCGTATTCTATTTAAACATTCATATTCTGCTAGTTCCATGTTCAGTGAATGGTCCTCTCATGTATTTTCTCTTTACCGTATTCTATTTAAACATTCATATTCTGCTAGTTCCATGTTCAGTGAATGGTCCTCTCATGTATTTTCTCTTTACCGTATTCTATTTAAACATTCATATTCTGCTAGTTCCATGTTCAGTGAATGGTCCTCTCTTGTAGGCACATTGTGAAAGCATGGAAGAGATGGTATACAGACTGCGTAAAGAACTGACAGAGAAAGACACAGAGATGAACTTACTGCAGGAGGAACTAGACCTGTACAAGAACCAGGTGGTGCTGTTGACAGGCCGAGTCAAGTTGGTTACATTTTTATTTTTTGTGGCGGTTTAGTTTATATCAGGCAGTCAAGTTGGTTACATTTTTTGGTGGTTTAGTTTATGTCAGGCAGTCAAGTTGGTTACATTTTTATTTTTTGTGGCGGTTTAGTTTATAACAAGCAGAGTCAAGTAGGTTACATTTTTATTTTTTGTGGCGGTTTAGTTTATAAAAGGCAGAGTCAAGTTGGTTAAATTTTTTGTGGTGGTTTAGTTTATAACAGGCAGTGTCAAATTGTTAGATTTTGTTATATATTTTGTTTATAAAAGGCAAGTCAAGTTGGTGGTTTAGTTTATAATATGCAAAGTCAAGTTGGTTACATTTTGATTTTTTCTTGAGTTGATTAGCCTGTTGTCGCTCTGGGCATTAGCTGCCTGCCACTGGTGTTACACAGTCAGGTTTGACTTTTGTTCTCAGTCTCAGATTCTATTTATGTGTGACTCTCTTTTTGTGCCCGCTCTACCTCAAAGTTTTCTTCCTTTCCAGTGAGCTAACCAAACTGTTGAGCAAAGAAAGAACCACTGAAAAGCGACGTGTATCAACTGGCACTCTACGTTATGAGTCGATATATAATTCTGGGGATTTTATCAAGCCAAGCAAAATTGATGAAGCAAAGTAAGTCAGGAGTTGTCCTTGCATTAATCATTATTGATATCCTATCGGTAAAAAAATAAATAAAAAAATAAACTAATAATCTATCTTTAATAAGTTAAAAATATGTAGATCTTTTGATATTTCCTTTGGCTGGCTTGTTTAAAAATATAAACTACATTAAATAGAATTATTAAATTGTCAGTAACTTTAAAAAAAATATGCTTATTATTTTTGTTACTAAATGATTAGTTTAGCAACCTGTTTAGATAAGGGTTATAGCTAATTTTTTATTGATGTATCAATTTAAATGGATAATATGCGTGATACAGCTTTAATAACAGTACTTGAATCCCAAACCATGTAGATCTATCATTGTTCTTTAAGCTAGATCTACAAATTAAATGATCCATTAATGCACTTTTTTCTACCTTCAGAAATGAAGATCTAGCCAGTGAAAGTCCACAAACCACAGAAGTCACCTAACTAACTTGACCTGACTACCACAACAGATTGTTATGACCTCGTGATGAACACAAGCGCCTACAGTTGTATTTTTTAAGATGCTTTAGACTAGTATACAATTTAGTGCCTTGTTTTACACAATCATTCGTCCTTTAAACAGAACATCAGCAACTGCACTAACAGTTTTTTATAGTGCTTTTGTTATGGTATGAAGTATAATAACAGCGTATTGTTTTATATTTTATAAAAAAGTAGTTTTGTTTTTTGGTTGTGACTTATACAAAGAAATTGATGTAGCCACTAACCACAGGATCCTTGAAAATAATTATTTTCTGAGAATTGGCAATATAAATATATACCTAAACTTACAGCTAAATGTATATTTACCGTATATTGTTATTTAAAATTTTTAATGATTTTTTTTACATATTAAGTATATTACCCATGAAAGATAAAAAAAAAAGCAATAGTTTAAAAAAGTAGTAATGATGAGTTTTATTCCCATTTAATATGTACAGCCAGTGTTCATTTAAAATATCTTCTTCAGAACAAAAATCTCTTTAATTGGATTTGATTTTAACTTGACTCTTGACCAATTAGGTGTCAAAAAAATTTTATTTTTATTTTTACATTTCTTGTCCACTTTTTAAAAATTTATATTTTCTATTGGGATTGTAAATTTACCTTTGGTAAGGTTTGGTTTTTGTATTTTTGTAAAAGGTTCAACCCCATCACTCCCGTTCTGTTTGTTTTCTAAAAGATTTGTTTGCTGCTTGATGTCCTTAGCTTTTTTATTATTTCTAGTCATACCAGATACATAACTAATGTACCCATGTTACTTTTTTTCTTCTAGTTATTAAGGTCTAATAATTGCTAACAGAAATTGTATTATTAAAAAAAAACTACTATATTTTTATTAACAATGCATTTACTATATAATAATTATATTCAGATATTAAATATTTTATCTAAATAACATAACTAGAAATGAGGTATAAAAACTAATGGATATAATAGCCTGAAGTTTGTCTCCACTGTGGGACCTACACATTTACAATCCTGAAAGGGATTGGTTCTTGTTAGTTCTTGTGATAGTTTTTTCTTCTCACAAAGCATTCAAATTAGTTGCAGTAGTTATATTGTAATTTATTTGTAGTTACTGATGACATATTAAAAAATTGTAACCCAAGTTTTTTTTAAAGATAACTTTAAGCTCATTCTTACTGGTTATCCTTCCATTTTATCCCAGGAGGCATAGAGAAGCAATCACATTTCTTTATAAGACTTTATGTAAGGGGAGACAACCAAAGCTAGGACCATGTCATTCCAGAAGCCCCAGCCTTTCAACTTCAGAATGATCTTTCTCCTCTTCTTAAACAGTTTAATGTTTTTTGAGGGTTTAAATCTGCAGTTATCATTTTGATTTGTACAAGCTGATCTACTCCACCTACATCTTCATATTTAGTCAGTTAAATTTTTTTTTTGTTTTTCTCTTAAAACTGGCATTGGTAACTGCTTTTAAGGCTATGCTCAGTACACTGCCTTGTTTTACAGAGGTCCCTTGCTGACTACAGTTTGAAATGCACCACTCTCCACAGGAAAGACACTGCATTGTTTTTTAAGCTTCATATTTTTTAGTTTTTTTCTGTCTTCTGCCAGTATATCACATTGTTTTTGTCATCTGCTAGTATTTCACATTAGTTCTGTCTATCTTAAATAAGGCGTGAAGCTGCCTTTTGAATATTTATTTTTTTAATTAACCTTTAACCCTAAACTTACATCACATGGCTAAAAAAATACAAACCAAGGTTATTTCACTTTTCTGTTGTTTTTTCCCGTACCTTGAGTTATCAATGATGCAATACTTGTTTTTGTTTTGTTTTATAAAGATATATGTACTGGTATTATTTTACAACTATAATAACTTTTTTTACATAATCAGATTTAACTTCATTTTACCTTTATTTTTTAACATTATTTTTTTGTGAAAACAAGTCTTCAAGACAACTTTTCTGGCATTATTTTTGTTTGCTCTGATGGAATTTATTTTATACAAATTTTTGTGTGTGAAAACATGGCAATGGCATTGAGTATTTTTATCTGGCATTGAGTATTTTTATCTGGCAATGAGTATTTTAAACATTTTAATGCAAGAAATCCTTTCACTTTTGCGTGTTCAGTATTTTAAAGTATGTGTTAACTTTTGATTTACTTGGAAGTATTTTTTTGTAATCTTTCCAGAACTTTACATTCTAGAAAAGTTTGAGAATTAAATTTTTTTTTATTGTATTTAATGTCCTTCTGCCAACCAATAATATTAAGAATCTAAAATTTAGGATCTTGAATTATTAATACACATATTGATTTCTGGGTGTGTTGTGAGGGATCAACCACATCTTGAATTTGAATTGTTTTAAAAGATGTACTTGTTATTTTTACAAGACTAAATGTGTTGTTTTTTGACTTGCTAAAAGTTTTTTGCACAAATTTTGAAACATGCTTAAGCTTCTTAATGACCTGCCCCCTTTAGTTTGATTATGTTTGATCATATTTGTTGTAGGGCTATAACAGGGTATTAATTATTCATTCAGTTGAATAATTATGGTGATATCAGATAATCATTAAGGTATATATAGTTTGTTAAACCGTAGACTAGAAAAGTAATGAGTGGGTGGAATAAACATCATAATGTGTTTAGTATTTAGCAAAAATTAGGAATGGAGTCTATTTAATTATTTTTTTTCATGATTTTTGAATTGCCTCAAAAGTTTGATACTATGAACTCCTTTATCAAACATCAAGATGTCTTAAAGAAAAAAACAACCTGCGTATTTTACTTCAAGGATATATAGTTTATAAAACACATACATTAATTTCATATTATTATTTATGAATTCAATTTCTGAACTGAGATTATTGAATTTAAATAAGCATAATACTACCCCAACCCCATTTTAAACTGCAGGATATTTCAATAGTAAAATGTGAGCAAGAACCCCCTCCCATATTTCATGAGGAACATGTTTTTACTGGTATAGAAGTCAGGGTTATTTTTAAAGTTTTTTTCTCAAATAGACATGAGAATATGAATTTTGTATGTTACAATTTTCTTCACCTATAGTTGGAGTATAGTCATAAAAAAAACATGCAAAAGATGAGTGTCTTGTTTGTTTTGTTTATATGTTGAACTACCAAAATATTTACTTATTCTATATTCTAAGTCTAAGTGATCGCTACTTGAAATGAAGAAAAATTACAACTGGAATCTTAAAGCAAAAGCACAGTTGAAGAAACTGTGAAACACAGAGAAGTTGAAAGGTTAGTGTAGAATAGTACAAAGAATGAAACAGCAAGAAGAGTAAACCTATGTATAAATAGAAAGGAAGGGACAAAATTAGAAGGCAGAAAGAGGTACATGCTACATACATCTTGGAACTCTAGCTCCAAACTCCTTCCCTCAACTCTATGATGTATGCAATTGTTAAGGACAAGTTTGCCAGCAGTTTTAAAATAACACGTAAATGCCTAAAATATCTGGCCAACGTTAGAAAATAGCTCGAGCTATTTGGTCTGGCATTGTTTATTTGCTTTCATGCCTGGAGAGCTACATACCAGCTGAGCGGCAAATCTCAAGAATTTCATTCTCTTAAAAACTTGAATCGGGTTCTAGATTCTACCCGTTTGTATTTCCTGCAGTCTTGAGAATGGAATCAGGGTGCATCCTACCCGAACGAAATGGAATGTATATAGAAAGAATAAGTTTTACCAGTGTCCGCCCCCCCCCCCCCTCCCCGGGGGAAAAAAGTCTGGAAGAAAGACTGAATGGAATAAGTAAAGCGATGCTTGTAGGATGACGACATTCAGCAAGTTGTTTACATTTTTTAAAGCTGTATGGAAATATTTCGATAAAAAATGTTTAAAACTAAAAGCAACAACGTAGTAGCAAACACAATACGGTAACGGTGTGTGTGTGTGTGGGGGGGGGGGGGGGGGTAATTTCTAGAAAAACAAAGATCATAGCAGTGGCGTAGTGAGGTCGGGTGTCACCCGGTGCGGCGCTTAATGGTGTCACCCCCAGAGGCATAGCAATCCTTCCCGGGGACAAACTTTCAATTTTCGATTTGCAACCCCCCCCCCTTCAAACTTTCGATTCGCACCCCCCCCCCCCCTCCCCCCAAACTATCGACTTGCACCTCTTAAAAGACTATTTAACACTCGAATTAATCACTTAATTAAGTGGGATTATCATTTTTCTCTATATATTTTGCTATTTTTTTGCCTTGGTGTCACCCCCCTAAATGGTGTCACCCGGTGCGGTCCGCACCCTCCGCCCCCCCCCCCTTGCTACGCCTCTGGATCCTAGGCAAAAAGGGAAGGGTGGGACGTCAGTGGTTAAAGATGTTTACGAAAGTATTGGATTATCTGTGGGCTTGCTATCAGGCATCAGAGTTTCTTCCAGGCATCTCTTCGGGGGGGCTTAGCCCCCCCCCCGAAAATTTTTTACCGCCCCCCCCGAACGAAATGAAATTTATATAATTTATATAGAAAATATATACTTTTAACAGTGTCCGCCCCCCCCCGAAGAAAGTTTACCGCCCCCCCCGAAAATTTCAAGTGCCCCCCCGGAGAAAAAAGTCTGGAAGAAACACTGTCAGGCATTAGAACTTCGATACCGTTTCGAAAAGGCGATGAAAATATTTCCATTCAAACAATTCCTTTGCTGATATGGTTACATTTCTGTCCACATTTCGTCGTGCGGTAGAATCTTGTCACATCTGGCAACTCACAGGGTCACAAAGGTCATTTGGAGAAATGAGTTATTCACAGTGATCGCCCCTTCGTGATAGATTGGTCACGTCACCAACAACTAACCACACGCCCTCCGCCAGTTTCCGGTCGCCTTTTTTGGCCCCTGGATTTGGGAGAGTTCACCGAATCTAAATATGGCGCCCTGCTCAAATCAATCTCACGTCGTGGTTTGCCAGTTATCCTTCGGGATTAGCCCCATGTGGTGTAAGCGATGCGCATGCGCCGTTAAACATTGGTATCACAGACACGAACTCTTTAGTTAAATAACGACCCGAGTGTCAATGAACTTGGTATTGAAGTACTGCAAGTGGGTGATGACATTGTTACTAGAACGAGTACTTGGTGGAGGTTGAACTTGGTAAGAAGTAGGCCTATCTTATTGAGCTACGATATTGGTAACTCACAATAAATGGACCTGAATTAGAAAAAAAATTGCTTGAATGGGTAACTAAATTAATTGATAAAATTAAAACATTGTTTGCTAACAATAAAATATAATAATATGCCAAATACAATCAATGTCTGGCTTGATAGTGTACACACTTGTATTAGTTGTTTAGGCCTAGCTATAGAATGACAAGTGCCTTTTAAAATCAAAGTGTAAAATATCCATGTTTTTAAAGGTATGAAATAACAAAAAGGTTTACCCATGAAAGAAGACATGCACTATGACAAAGATATGCTTTGGAAATTATTTCTCATGAAACAAAAATAACCACCAAATGAACTACAAATAATCTAATGACAGACAACAAAGTATTGAATGTGTCATTTGGAAAGTTTTTTTGAACAGGAAGTAAGATTTTTGTAACGTTTCGAACACAACCCAAACCCCTCCCACCTTTTTAAAAAATATATACAGCAGAGCACTTTTGTATTTTGGCACTTAACTTGCACCCTCACGCCTAAAAATACTAGGCAACTTCCTGTTGACTGAACTGCAGCAACAGATTGAAAATTTATTTCGTGGCATCGGACGCTCTCTAATTTTAGAAAGCCCTTTAGAGATTTTATTACATTCCTTGCCCTGTTTTGTCACATTTATAAAAAAAAACAACAACAACAACAAACAACTTTCAGTAGATTTCGAGGGTAGTCCTATGACCTGTACTTCGAGATTCCATTTGGACTGTCGCATACTCTCTACGTCATTCTCAGCATTAAAATAGTGTATCACAAGTTGTGTAAC